TATATATATATATATATATATATATATATATATATATATATATATATCTGATCCTCTGAAAACAAATATATTTCCGCAGATCCAAGGATTATTAATTAAAGGCTTTAATCAGGGTGATGTCTGCCGTAGATTCCGAGAAACACTAAATTACCAATTCGCCCTCGTCTTGTCGGTATATTAAGTAAATAATAAGCAGTATGACAGGGAGTTTCACGTAATTAAGATCGCCGTTCATAAATGAGATCGTTGGAGAAGAATCGCAAGGTTAGTACTAAAGATTCGGATTTCAAATCCATAACTCGGGTGTATATAAGCCTTCTCGCATCTCCAATCTGAGATCGTACTCCGAGTTGAGATCTTTTCTGCAAACAGGGGAGGAAACAGCGTCGTCGTAGAGGAGCAGCGAGAAAAGAGTAAGCTTTCATTGTTCTTCTTTAGTGATGCTGATGCAATGAATGGATACAGATGAATGCTCAGTGTGGTTTCTTTTCTTCTCGCTCGTAAGATTCGTACTCCTATCATAACAGCCCTTTGAATGATATGGTTGGAGAGTAATCTGCATGTGTAGTAAATGTAGAATTCAGATTGATTCACGAGAGTGTCAGCAACTCTAATGAGAAGTAGGAGTGCCACTGTAGAGATCATAGCTATAGAATGGTTTGCGAAGGTTTTGGTGGAGCAAAACAGGGAGCTTTTTGAACTTTCGAGGTCGGTCAGTTTCCTTCTTCTTCGTTCTGTCTCTGTCTCTCTCTTGCTTCGTCGTCGTCGTGCGACGGCCGTGGTTTTCGGGCATGTCACGTAGTCTACACATAGGTAGAGCCCAGCAGATGGCGTCTTGTTTGCTGCCTTTTTCTTTGTCTTGTTGGTAAGCTACAAAGCAGAGCAGGAAAAATCCATTCTTTCGCCATGTTTAAGGTGGTTTCCTTGCCCCTTTCCTCGATCTCTCTCCGTCTTTTCTGCGGGAGGTTCGGAGCGTAGAGGATATATAGAAACATGAGTAGTTTCGTGTGTTACTTCTAAATCAGCTGCGGGTATCAAGTGGTCGAACAAAGCCTTCGTTTGAATCGTGAGTTCATCGAGCAATATCTCTGACATACCTCTGATATCTATTAGATCAATGGGTTCGGGTGGTGGGGATTGCTTCTGTCGACTCCTTTGTCTTCTAATGCAGGCCTCATACTTGTTATCTTCCTTGCCACCTCAAAGAGGTTGCTTTGATTCCCACACCTTTCCCTCTCGTTCTTTCTGTGTAGGACATGGAGACGGTAAGCGTCGTCGCCGAAATGTATTAGTTTTCCTGCAGGACTTCATCGGATACCGGCGGCTGAGAGATGGGTCGGGCGACTCGGTGGCTGCGGAACCTTTGGGGCGGCGACAAGGAGAAAAAGGAGACGAAGGACTACTCCAGTTACGGTGGCGAGGCTAGGACGGAGAAGAAAAGATGGAGCTTTAGGAAGTCAAGGAGCTCCGGCGATGTAGCGCCGGGCCAGAACGCTTCCACGGCGGCGGCAATCGAGGCGGCGTGGTTCAAGTGTTTCTATGCTGAAAGCGAGAAGGAGCACAGCAAGCACGCCATCGCCGTGGCCGCGGCCACAGCTGCTGCGGCCGATGCAGCGGTGGCCATGGTGCGGCTCACCAGCCATGGAGCGGGCGCTCGCGATCAGCTGGCGGCGGTGAAGATCCAAACTGCATTCAGAGGCTTCTTGGTATGGGAAATCCTCACTAACTGTTGTTGAGATAGAGATGCATCTTTTCTGCTCCACGTAAATGTTCTTGAGTCGTTCGGTGTTTTAATGTTTTGAAGGCGAGGAAAGCACTCAGAGCTCTCAGAGCACTAGTCAAATTGCAAGCACTGGTTCGAGGATATCTTGTTCGCAAGCAAGCCGCCAAGACTCTTCACAGCATGCAAGCTCTGGTGAGAGCTCAGGCCACCGTCCGAGCTCAAAGAGCTCGAAACCTTCGACCGGAAATCCGCCATCGGAGATCCTTAGTATGTCGCGGTTCCTAAATGCACCTCAAATTCTCCTGAAGCGATCAGCACTCAGCGTTATCGTTTTGCTTGGTTGCAGGAGAGGTCGAAAGATCTCATGTCGTCGTTCCAGAGATGGAGGCTCCCGACAAGCCTCGATAGCACCATCATCGACAGGAGCCCAAAGATGGTCGAGATCGATGCGTCCTACCCGAAGAAGCTGAGTTCTTCTCGCCCGACTGCTACCTCTTTCACAGATCCAGCGGACGACATACCTCTGCGTGGATTCTCCTCTCAGATTCCAGCACGAATCTCTGTACCCAGCCGGCGAAACTTCGAAGAGAACGACTGGTACTGCATCAACGGCGACAGGTGCCGGTGCTCAGTCACCGCACAGAGCACACCCAGATACGTGAATTTGTCCTGCGATGTAGCTGCGACTCCCGTGCTCCGGCAATCGTTGAGCGTATCGAACTCTCCCACCTACATGGCGAAGACGCAGTCATCCAAGGCAAAGCTAAGGTCACAGAGCGCCGCAAAGCAGCCGCCGGATCCGGCAGAGACGAGGAGGAGGCAGCCGTTGAGTGAGGTAAACGTGGAGGCCAGGGCTAATGTAGCTGGCATCGCAACGAAGAAGCCACGCCCTCAAGCTCAAGAGGCTTTCAACTTCAAGAAAGCCGTGATCGGGAGGCTCGATAGGTCCTCGGAGCTGATGACGAAGGAGGCAGACAGGGAGGCTTACTCCCACAGAAGGTGGTAATGCAATGGAGGAAACCCAGTGATTATTTTCTCCCCTCTGGTGATCTGTTCTGTTTTCCTGTTCGTGTGAGCATGTTGTATGAGATTCTTCATCGAATGGTGCGAAATGGAGCTTCAGAAAATTACTCGATTTGAATCTTTCAAGAGGTTTTAAGGATGTGTTGTTCTTGTTTTCAGTGCTCATCTCCCTGTTGCGTCCTGCACTGACAGGGATCCATGTTGATGAAGCAGCTGCCAACCATGGGACCGATGGATATCCCACCATCCACTCTTCATTTAAATGGAGTTGACTGTCAGGCAGTGGACCCACTGCCGTGGCCAATCTTTGGCTGCCACATCATTGTGGAGATCGAGAGTCCCTGTTTGCACCTGTTAACAATGGTTGGCCGAGCATCATTTGAATAGGAACAGCTGACCATAGCTGGATCCGTATAATAACAGGAAATGATGCACTGCATCTCTACATTGTTTTGTTGGTACACTCGTGTAGTATTATTATTTCTGTTCTGGATCTGAGTTCATGTATCCCCTATGGTTGATTCCTCGAACTCGATGGATCGATATGGAATCAACATCTATCTCTCTCCCTTGATTTCAGTGTGCTGCTCACCAATCATTTGGTTTTCATTTCGAACAATGTGTGGTTTGGAGGGTGACAAGAACAGCTTGAAGCATTCTTTGTACTGATGGGAGGAACTGATCACATCCAGTCCTCCTTCTGGTCATCTAATGATTCTATCATGTGCCTCATGTTATCAAGAACGACAAGAACACATATGACAAATTTCTGTGTCGGGGGTACGTCTTGAGCCATTCGTACTACATAGCAAGGGAAAACAACAAAGCTGGACGAATGAGAACAAGAGAGACTGACTTGCTTTATTCGTGATCATCATCAAAACTGTTTCGAATGTATTATTGTTCGTTCTATATTCGATAAGAAATTGCTGCATATTAGTCTTCATTTAGATGCATGTCATGCGTGTATAGATTGCCCCCTCACTCTCTCTGACATTCTAGCTATAGAATCCTATTCCATAAGCGGAGTTGACTTACTGACGACACGACCATGTGAAGGATCCATTAGACAATAGTAAGATTCCAAGTCTCGGGCAACGAGACTTACATCATTGGGATTATGTTATCTATGATTCAAACATAAAGCATTAAAAAGATTTCACCATGAATTTAGCCTTTTTTGTTTTGGAACTCGTGCTAGTCTAATTATGGTTCTCCTATCATGCATCCCAATGATGTCCGGTAATTAATCTATCGACACCTCAAACGAGAACATAAACAAGATTCAACTCTCCTCTTCTTTGGCTTTACAATGGTGAAAATATAACATGATGAAATCATCAATCATTATTGGCTTACAATACAATTGGATACTTGAACATAAGGTGGGAAAGGAATGGAATAATGTTGTGTTGCAGGAAGATAAGGCTGCACAGGTCGTGGGACGATGTCAGTGGCACTGACACGGATGGTGAGCTTAGCTTTGTGCTTCTTCCCATGAGACTGGCGTTTTGAAGTTGCAGTTATTTCCCACAAGGTAGAGAGAGATTTAGCAAAATCTTTACTGCAGTCGGTCGATGACCGACTCCTGTTTGCACTATCTTCCATACCGGTGACTCATCACTTGCACTTCTGGTTCTCGGTTCTCAGTCCTAGGGTTCTGCTTTGACAGCAACACATCCTCGACCAATGGCTCTTTGGTGACAAGGAAGACAGAAGAAAACATCGGCTTTTGTTGGCCGAGTGGGGCAGCTGTGGAGCCGATGACAAGCAGAGATCATGTGGGGGGGAGGTCAGGAACGCAGAAGACCAGTGTGAGGGCAGCAGCTTGATGCTGATGCATGAAGCCCACAAGGATCTCTTTCCAGTTTCTTTTGCAGCAATTATTAGGGTTTCATTCTGATGGAATAATTCCATACACTTCATCTTTTCTTTCCCACACTTTGTCACGTCAATTCCTCCTTTCCCCAAAATGCTGCATCACACTGCCTCAGCTCTTCGACGGAGATGCTACTACTTCATAGGAATATTCTCATATCTTCAAGAGATGTTTTGGACTCCGTTGAATATTCTGTATCATAATAGTTATTTCCAGTGAGTACAGCTGCAATAAACTGGCTACATTTTCCTAAACCAAAAATGATGTATGCAATACAGAAAACTGTATGATATATTGCTATTATGCATTCAATTGCCAATGCCAAAATCGATCCACGCAATATGATATTGAATGAATTGTACGACTCTTCAAGAGTTCAGTCAGCACGGTGAAGCTACGAAGAATTCCGGTAGAATAGAGTTGGGCCCTCTCTGTGGTATGGTCCATGGATTTACTAGTAGGAGGCTTTGAGCTGTGTGTGCAGATGAATGAAGACAACACAATTCAATGGTGTTTTTAGGTACCGATACTTGATTTCAGTCAGACATTTACTGAATTGTAGGACAGCGGATTCAAGTCAACTTCTACATTAAGAATGATGTACAGCACCTGGGGGCAATGGGCGGCAATGAACAGAGAGTCCTTCGATGGGATTCAGTGATGCATCGATCAAAGCCAGCATCTGCGTATCAAAAATAACATATGATAGAGGATATTTTAGTATCATCCAGCTGACAGCCACTTCAAATCGCACGTGGTACCACTCCAGTTAGAGTCATGCATACATAGCTCGACTCAGAAACTGTTGTGTTCTGAACTGACGTCGTCCAGCTCAGAAGCAAGGTAAAACAAAATTCACGTCGCTTGAAATCGCACGAAGCGACACCCGAAAGTGGAGGGATAGCCCCGTATAGCACGAAATTAGAACAATCACCCCATAATAGATGAACCGTCCACCTAAAATATTGATGGATGCTAACAACCTACAGATGATAGATCACTAGAGAGATATAAAAACTACCCTTGAGCACATGCTGGAGGGGGAGCTCTCTACACATTAACTCAGTCATAAAGCTTATATTGCTATCTTTTTTCTCTTTGCGACCAATCCCGAATCGAGCACTCACCATTAGAACGACTTTCGACTGAGCAACCTATGCGATCTCATCTCACCAAGTCTTCCATGTCAGTTAGGAAGAGGTACCTAAATGATCCTATGCCTTCGGTAGTGGACAAATCATGTCGACTCATCAATCGATGGTACTCATGATACCATCATTCTAGCACTAAACGGAGGGCTGAACGTCGCAGGCACATCCTTCTATTACTCCTCTAAATGAACGTTCGAGCGAAGAGACGTTACCTCTGGTCCCAAGCCTCCTCGGGAAGGGAAGGCACGTACCTCATTTCAACAAAATGATGCCTTCGCCTCAATTGAGGCACCAAGGCCCAACTAGCACCTACTCAATGATCCAAGGCTCTCTCCCCCAAGACTAGAGACAAGCCCCTTGCTCGTCCCATCAGAAGAATTCCCGAGCCTCACTCAGTGAGTCCAGACTCTTACCAGCATGATATAAACTATTACCTCACTTCTCCCTCAATTGACTCAATCGGTAACTCCAATGCAATGGGTCACCCTCGGGTTGTCAACTACACATCTTCTTTCCAAAGTCTAATCGGGGAGACCACACCTCATCTTCCAAGGATCTTTTCAGCCAAGAGGGACAAGTGGCCTCGCGCTGCACTTTCCAATGGCGTAGTGCATCATACCATTAAGACATGTCATAGCCATATTAGAGTCCGAGGCCCAGTCTGACGACTCTTGGGAACCCTTGATGAAAGCTCAACTCTACCTTCACCCTGTTATTTTCTTCTGACATCTTCATTTAGCAAACTGTCTTTAACCATATATATAGTTAGAGTCCCCTCTAGCGTGGAATTACAAATAGTCACAACATATGTTTCCCAACTTTCTGGTAAAGAGTTGAGAAGTAGTAATCCTTACATCTCATCATCTATATTCATTTTCATAGCAAGCAACTTGTTTGCAAACTCTGAAATAGACTTATGTGCTCAATAATATTACCACCATCTTTATACTTCAAATTTATAAGCCTTCCGAGGAGAGAAATTCTATTTCCCATTGTCTTTTTCGCAAAAAGATTTTCTAACCTTTGCCAAACAACGTCAGCTCTGGTTTCATTAGAAATATGCTTATGCAAGTTTATAGCACCAAATAACCTGTTGCTCTGATACCACTTTGTGAGGGAAAAACCTGTTAAAGCGGAATAATTCTTTTCCCTCTTTGTGTATCAAAATGGGTTCCTCATCAAAATACTAACTTGATATCAAAATGTTAATATCAACTAGAACAACATAAATAGTAGAGCAATAAATCAATCACACAATGAGACCAAATCTTTTAACATGAAAAACCCAATGTGGGAAAAATCACGGGACCATAGTCCACCTCAAACTTCCACTATCAATAGTAATTTTTTTTGGTAAGTACACTATCAATAGTAATGATAACAGGTTTACAATAAGTCTTCTCTAGAATAGCAAGAGGATCACAATAACATCAAGATCATATATCTTGGCTCAAGAATAGCATACCTTCATCACATAGATGAATCTCTTAGGTCTCACAAAGTGGGTATAGCAGGAAAGTACCTCAGAGAGGGTAAACTGTAGATCAACACCGTTAGGATTGTAGAGCTTACTACAAGGATTATCTGCATAAAATTAAGGTCAAAACTGATAATGTTTGGCTACTGATTGTCAAGTAGAAAACTCAGAATCCTAATATTTCTCTCTCCTTCTCTCTCTCTGCGCCGTCGCTCGCTGCACGCGTTCGCTGTACATTCGCTCCACTCTCTCTCTCACCTTTGCTGCCCTATATCTCTTTTACCTTTTAATTAGTGATCTGGGCTCAAAAGGTCCAATTGTCCAAGCCCACATATGAGCTGAACCTAAGACAAATCACACATGATACCACTCTAGTTGGAGTCACACATACATAGCTCGACTCAGAAGCAATTGTGTTCCGAAGTGATACTGCCCAGCTTAGAAGCAATGCAAAACAGAATCCATGTTGCTTGAAATCGTATGAAGCAGCACCCGAAAGTGGGGGGATAGCCCCACATAGCATGGGATTAGAACAATCACCCCATAACAGATGAACCGTCCGCCTGAAATATCGATGGATGCTAACAATCTACAGATAATAGATCACTAGAGAGATATAAAAACTACCCCTA